AGGATCGCCTGTCTCCCTCCATCTCTGCCTCTCCCCTGCTCACTCACTGTCTCTCAAAAATAAATATAAAAAAAAAAAAAAGAATATACCACCTCCACCCAAATATAAATCTTAAATCTTTACCTGGACCTCCACAATAACCTCTTGTTTGTGTTGCCAAATATGATCCCCTTCATTAGTGACACACATTTAATGAATGTTCGCTAAATGAATGGGTAAGTTAATGAAACTCTCTGGAATGGTCTCTCCAGGAGGACAGGATTTTTGCCTTGTTGTTATTTTACATAGGTCTTGAGTGTCTATATGGTACACATTTAGTTAATATAGTATTAAATATCTCATTTACTATGTATAAAACTCTAAGACTTTGAATACTGATATTATGTCCATTTTATAAATGAATAGGCTCAGTAGTTAAGTAACTTAATCAAGGTCAAAAAACATTAGTTGATAGAGTCATACTTTTAACACAGGTTTTGTTTCCCAAGCATATACTATTAACTTCCGTGCAATGGTATATCACCACACACATGGAAAAGTCTCCATTAATAGATCCCTGAAAGCTACATTAGATTTTTAACACATCATTATTTACAACTTATTTGTGGATATTCTTAGCAATTTCTATCATGGCCCATTTCTCTTCTTCCTTATTTACTGGCTTATAATTCTGTCTTTAATTCTCCAATAATTTGGGGAATACTTTTTGTACACTCAATAATACCATAAATGTTTTGAAGATAAGATGAGTCTTTTGTATAACCCACACCAGGCTTGGAGCAAGCCATTAGGTATAATGTTTGTTGAAGTACCTTATATTCAGCCTTTTATTATTGTGCTTTGCTAGCATGTTGCTGTGACTTCTTAGTAATTTTTCCCAAGCTTCTTCAGTCTTGAGGGAAAATGATCTCTTGCTATGTTCTACTCTAGCTGTTAGAAAATAAAGATCATCTTTGAATTAAGAAACGGGGAGTCTGAAAATGTGGATTTTGTTTGTGTCTCAGAGCATATGTGTATTTACTGAGCCCCATGAAATTGGGTCTTTTTACTTCAACAGATAGAATCCTAACTCTTCAGTACCTGTGTATTTTGGAAACTTTGCTTCTGAAGCATCGTTCAGCGCACTCAGAACAATTGGTGCTTAGAGAGACATTAAAGAAATGTTAAATGCTATTTAAGGTTTTGTGGGTTCGGGTTCTTTTTGTGTATAGAAAAGAATGAGACTCTTGAGACATTAACCCTGTTGAGAAGAAAATGGAATATTTGAATCGCATCAGGCTACAATGCTTACTATAAATTAAGGCATTCAGGGCTCTCCCATGAGAGTGGTAGATACAGTGTTACCATGACTATAAACCTATGTCCCACTCCAGCTGGATGGCAGAAAGGCAGGAGGAGGGAGCAAAGACTGTTAATATAATTTATGTGATATATAATGTATCCAACAAATGATAATGACGTATTTTCCACTTCAGAAATCATTACACTCACTGTGATTCATGAAGTAGTAAAGGCAGGAGGGCTGGCCAATCTGTAGCACATGTGTGGCCGTGGCTTCCTTCCATGCCTAGAGCAGTTGTCATTTATTGATTACAATGCATTTTTCTTCCAAGCCCAAAGGGGGCCTCAGAATTCTTTTCAACATGGTCTTAAAGCCAGTCACTTCCAAAATTAGTGTTGGCACCAAAGGTCAACCCAGAACTACAGAATTATTAGTTGCAAACGGGAAGTGGGAAAGCATTGTTAAACATAGGCAGATACAATCAGTTAGCAAAATGAAGCAATTCATCTGTTAATACCTCTCCTTATGCTCTGTGGTTATCAAAGTTGATGGTATGCTGAGCACTCTTAAGCCTGGGAAACTAATACAAATGCTAACGGTTTGAAACTCTCGTTTAGTCACTTATATCCTGTTCCTCATATGAAAAAGTCAAAACTGGTGAGTTTATGTAGGGCATGGATTCTGTATACCAATGTATGTGTATGTGTATACACTGAAGTATAATGAGGTATAATTAACATACAGTGTTATTTCAGGTGTATAAAATAGTGATTCAACAACTCCATACATTATTTAGTACTCATCACATAGACATACTGTTTAATCCCCATCACCTATTTCACCCATCTCCCCAGCCGCCTGCCTGCTGGTAAATATCAGTTTGTTCTCCATAGTTAAGAGTGTGTTTTTTGTTTGTATCTATTTTTCTTAGCTCATTTAGGTTCCATTTATTTATTTATTTTTTTAATTTTTTTTTTTCAACGTTTATTTCTTTTTGGGACAGAGAGAGACAGAGCATGAACGGGGGAGGGGCAGAGAGAGAGGGAGACACAGAATCGGAAACAGGCTCCAGGCTCTGAGCCATCAGCCCAGAGCCTGACGTGGGGCTCGAACTCCCGGACCGCGAGATCGTGACCTGGCTGAAGTCGGACGCTTAACCGACTGCGCCACCCAGGCGCCCCTAGGTTCCATTTAAATGAGAAAAGTCAATCATACGGTATTTGTCTTTCTGACTTACTTCTCTTAGCATTATACCCTCTAGATCTATTCAAGATGTCACAAACCCCAAGATCTCATTCTTTTTTATGGCTGTGCAATATTTCATTGTATAGATACCAGATCTTCTCTATCCATTCATCTATCAATGAACACTTGGGTTGCTTCCATATCTTAGCTATTGTAAATAAAAATGCTGCAATAAACATAGGGGTGCATATATCTTTTTAAATTCATGTTTTCATTTTTGAGGAGTAAATGCCCAGTAGAATTACCAGATCATAGGGTAGTTCTATTTTTAATTTTTTGAGGGACTTCCATGCTATTTTCCATAGTGGATATACCAGTTTACACTCCCACCAACAGCGTGTGAAGATTCCCTTTTATCCACACTCTTGCTGACACCTGTTATTTCTCATCATTTTGATAATAGCCATTCTCACAATGAAATCATATCTCATCGTGGTTTTAATTTGCATTTCCCCGATGATGAGTGATGCTGAGCATCTTCTTATGTATCTATTGGACATCATATATAATCTCTGGAAAAATGTCTACTCAGGTTCTCTGCCCATTTTACTTCTAGGTTTTATGGTTACAGGTCTTATATTCAGGTCTTTAATCCATTTCGAGTTAATTTTTATATACGGTATAGGATAGCAGTCTAGTTTCATTCTTTTGCATGTGACTGTCCAGTTTTTCCGACATTATTGAATATACTGTCCTTTCCTCATTATGTATTTCAGCCACTTTTGTTGTAGATCAATAGGCCATATGTGTCTGGGTTTATTTCTGGGCTCTATTCCATTGATTTATATGTCTTTTTATGCCAATGCATATTGTTTCGATTACTATGGTTTTGTAATGTTGTTTGAAATCAGGGAGCATGATGCCTTTACCTTTTTTTCTTCTTTCTCAAGATTGCTTTGGCTATTTGGGGTCTTGTGTGGTTCCATACACATTTTAGGATTGTTCTATTTCTTAAAAAATAGCATCAGAATTTTGATAGGAATTGCACTGCATCTGTAGATTCCTATGGGTAATACGGACATTTTAACAATGTTAATTCTTCCAATCCATGAGCATGAAATATCTTTCCATTTATTGGTGTAGTCTTCGATTTCTTTCAGTGTACAGATGTTTTATCCTCCTTGGTTAAATTTAGCCCTAGGTATTTTTTTGACGTATTATAAATAGAATTGTTTCCTTAGTTTCTCTGATAGTTTGTTAGTGCATAGAAATGCAACATATTTTTGTATATTGACTCTAAAAATTTTTTAGTTTTTATTTAAATTCCAGTTAGTTAATACATAGTGTAGTATTAGTTTCAGGTATACAATATAGTGATTCAGCACTTCCATATGACACGCACTGCTCACCACAAGGGTACTCCTTAATCCTCATCACCTATTTAACCCATCCCTACCCACCTCCCTTCCAGTAACCATTAGTTTGTTCTCTATACTTAAGAGTCTGTTTTGTGGTTTGCCCGCTCTCTTTTTCCCCTCTTTAGCTCATTTGTTTTGTTTCTTTGGATGCCTTTTATTTCTTTATTGCCTTATTGCTCTGGCTAGGACTTCTAATACTATGTTGAATAAAAGTGGTGAGAGTGGGTATCCTTGTCTTGTTCTGATCTTTAAAGAAAAGCTTTCAGCTTTTCACCATTGAGTATGATGTCAGCTGTGGTATTGTCATATATGGCTTTTATTATGTTGAGGTACATTCTTTCTATACCCACTAGGTTGAGAGTTTTTATCATAAATGGATGTTGAATTTTGCCAAATGCTTTTTCTGCATCTATCGAGATGATCATATGATTTTTATCCTTCATTTTGTTAATGTTGTATTTCACCTTGGTTTGCAGATGTAGAGCCATCCTGCATCCCTGGAATAAATCCCACTTAATCATGCTGTATGATTCTTTTAATGTATGTGTTTTTGAAATGAATTTTTATACATTATATAATATATTCCTTTTAGTGTCTGGTTTCTTTTGTGCAATGTATTTATTTATTGTTTATTTTGAGAGAGTTTGAGTGGGGGAGGGGCAGAGAGCGAGAGAGAGAGAGAAAGAATCCCAAGCAGTTCCTGCACTGTCAGCACAGAGTGCATGGGGCTCAAACCCACAAACCATGAGATCAGGACCTGAGCTGAAACCAAGAGTTGGTCACTCAACTGACTGAGCCACCCAGGTGCCCCTCTCCTATGCAAATTTAGGTATGAACAATTCATTCACTATTTTTCCATTGAAGGCTGGGTTCTCCAAAGATAATGCGGAGAAGCTTGCATTGCAATTGCAATGCGGATTGCAACATGCTAGTTACTGCTCCGTAAGGAGGAAAGAAGATTGGGCAGAGAAAGCAGTTGAACTGTGAAGCAGACCTGACAAAGGCTCAAGTGAAAATTGCCCATAGAGTGGCCTGCGTTGAGCTGAAATGACTAAGCATTTACTCCTCTCCCTTATTCAGTTCCCAGATAGGGGCTGTGCTAAGGGCAAGCCCCAGGCAAAGCAACTACTTGCAATTGAGGCAGATGCTGAAAGAGGTGAACAGGTGGAAGCTGCCTGCAGACTGCATTGTTTGTGACTCATCAGTCAATCCTAGGGCAGGATGTAAAAAAGAAAAAAAAAAAGCCTGAAAACAAATTATCTGAAAGTGGGATTAATATCACACTACATTGGGGTAAGTGAAAGTCTCTTTTTCAAGTTCCTCTGTATATAAGAAACATTTTATAACCTGGATCTTGGCAGCACATCTTGGTAATATATTACCATATTTTTGCTGCGTTATATTACATTCCATGAATCTAGCTTTACAATAGGTCTTAATTTATGACAGTTTAAGTGTACAGGTTTACACTTCAACATTACCTTGGCTATTAAACATTTTTTTTACATCTCCCAATGCATTTTGTTTTAATTTTTTAATGTTTACTTCTGAGAGAGACAGAACGTGAGCAGGGGAGGGCAGTGAGAGAGAGAGAGAGACCCCGAATCTGAAGCAGGCTCCAGGATCCGAGGTGTCTGCACAGAGCCTGAAGCAGGGCTCAAACTCACAAACCATGAGATCATGACCTGAGCTGAAGTCAGATGCTTAAAAGACTGAGCCATCCAGGTGCCCCTCCCTATGCATTTTAGAATTACTGGCTGCAACAAGCTAGCACCTAGGAGATCTGTCAAGGAAAGGGCACAGAAGCTGATGAATATAATGAACTGGATCTCATCAGGAGAAAAACGGAGACACCAGGCACTCACTTCCCTCACTGAACTCCAGCACAACTTAAATGTTTTTGCTGGCTTGCATTAGCAAACTCATTATAGCAGGGTTTGGTTTGCACAGTGAGTAGTTTGTAAGTTTTGTAGCTTGGTGTGGTATTATTATAATGTATAGGAATATTCAGATAGTCAGAGTTTGTATACTAAAATAAACCTATATTTCATGTAACACACACACACACACACTTCGAACTCTAAATTTGTATTTTGTGAGGTATTCCTTACTGTATTGGGAATATAATAAGATGGTGATTAGTAGTACATTTTTTATTTATTCTGGTAACGTAGCTTTGGTGGAAATTGTCAACAGAATCCTACAAAACCCAAAACAATAATGAACATCGTTAGCCATTTCATGCCTCAGTGCCTACAGCTAAACATGTACTAAGTAAAGTTAATGATAGTGCAGACTGCCTTTCTACAGTGTCATTTCCAGTTGGGGAATGTAATTACATTTAATTGAGTTGAAGCACATTATTACACTGAACCATGCCTCTGTTGATTCTAAATAAGCAATCTGGGGTATTTTGTAACAGTGGAAAAATGCTTTCAATCTGAATAGAGAAAAATTTAGTATGGCAGCCAATGTAGGTTTATCTCCAATTACGGACAATTAGGAAGAATCTTTGGTATTAGTAGAAGGAAGTTCTGACAACTGATTAAAGCATAGGTCAGGTTAAATTAAAAATTTATGTAAAGTACACAAAAAGCTGAGCAAATGATATGAGGGGAAATGTAGAATAGTGAAAAAAAAAAGTGATTAGGGAAAATGAAGTCCTGAAATCTCCGTTCTAAAATCACGAACCACTAGCTGTATTTGGAGACTATGCCCAGTTATTTCATCAATGAAACAGTTGGTCAAAGTGCACCTAAAACATCTCTTCTCACAAAACTTATTGATGTACGCACAATTCATACTTAATGTGTCCTGAGAAATAGATGACAGTTATCACTTACATTACTCCAAAATACATTATTTGAGGGAAAATGTAAATGTCATGATAGTTCTGTTTTTGGTAAAATAAACATTTGACTCTTCATTTCTTTTGCATTGTTTTTCACAGTATCACCTTATTATTTCCTATTCATGATTATGCCAATTGCATTTCACTCTAAGTACACATCCTCAAAGGAGCAAGAATATACAAAGGGGAACATTCAGTCTCTTTAACAGATGGTGCTGGAAAACTAGACAGTTTCCTATGCACAAGAATGAAGCTGGATTACATTCTGATACCATCCACAAAAATAAACTCAAGATGGATTCAAAACCTAAATGTGAGTCCTGAAACCATAAAACTCCTAGAAAAAAACATGGGCAGTAATTTCTTTGACATTGGCCACTGAAACATTTATCTAGAATGTCTCCCGAGGCAAGGGAAACAAAGGCAAAAACTAAACTACTGGGGTTACACCACAATAAAAAGCTTCGATACGGTGAATGAAATCCTCCACAAAATGACAGGCAAGTTATTGAATGGGAGAAGATATCTGTAACTGATATATCCAATAAGGGGTTAATATCCAAAGCATATAACGAACTTATAAACTCAATACCAAAAAAAAAAAAAAAAAACAAACACAAAACAAAAACAAAGAATCCAATTCAAAAATGGGCCGAGAACCTGAATAGACATTTTTCCAAAGAAGATGTACAGATGTCCAACAGACACATATCAAATATGCTCAGCATCACTCATCAGGGACATGCAAATCAAAACCATAATGAGACATAACCTCACACCTGTAAGAATGTCTATTATCAAAATGGGGAGAAATAACAAGTGTCAGCGAGAATGTGGAGAAAAGGTGGCAATGCAAATTGGGGCATCCACTATGGAAAAGAGTATGGAGGTTTCTCAAAAAATTAAAAATAAAACTACCCTATGATCCAGCAATTCCACTACTGAGTATTTAGCCCCTAAAAATGAAAGCACAAATTCAAGGAGAAATGCCCCCCTACGTTTATTGCAGCATTATTTACAATAGCTAAGCTATGCAAGCAACCCAAGTGTTCACTGATAGATGAATGGATAAAGAAAATGCAGTATATAAATACAATGGAGTATTACTTAGCAAGAAAAAAAAGAATGGAAACTTTCCATTTGCAACATCAGTAGAACCTTGAGGGCATTATGCTAAATGTAACAAGTCAGAGAAATATAAGTATCATATGGTTTAACTTATATGTGGAATCTAACCAAACCAAACAAACAAAAAACTGAGCTGATAAATATCAAGAACAGATTGGTGATTGCCAGAGAAGAGGGGGAGCTGGGCATGAGCAAAATGGGTGAGAGGGGTCAAAAGGCACAACTTCCAGTTATAAAATAAAAAAAGTCATGAGGTTATAATGTACAGTATTGTGACTATAATCATTATGTATTGCATATTTGAAAGTAGGTTGTTATTTTATTTCATTTTAAAAGTCCTTACGAGGTTCAGAGAATTTAAAAATCTTGTCCAAGATCACACAGCTAAAAAGTGGAAGAGATTGCTCTGATAGCCAAAGTATTATTTTGTGAATCCATTTACTTTTATCTCCATGCTTTGTAACTTATATTATCCAGTCATCCAATTCAAGTTTGTTTCTTTTTTCTGTTACTAGTAAGATTTTCTCTTGATTTCAAGCCAGGTTTTCAGAGCAGGAAGTTTTCATGTTTCTTTTTACTTTTTCTTGATGAATGTAGACACATGTATAAGTTGTTGTGAAACGTTTCCCTAATGAAAATATAAATTTATGCTACCAGCTTCTTTGAGCATTACTCAATGTAAAGCATACTGTCATGAAATTTTTAAATGTCATTTTGAAATGTGGATTCTAGCAGGGGTATGTGCCTTTTAGGAATCAGATAAAACTATTTTAATTATTGATAAAGTACACAATACTACAAATTACAAAGTAGCAACTTTTTTAAAAGTAATATTCAGACTTCAACATACTCTCTCAAGAAGGCTTCCAGTAGATTTTCTAAGTCCGAAGCAGGTAAGAAACAAAAAACCTCTGTCACTCACAACGTGTTACCAATACAATCAAATGAACAAAGTTTAACATAGACAATCCCTAGATTTTGCTTTTTTGCTCATTTGAGTCTTGCCAAACTAGAACAAACAAAACCTGATGCTCATCACCTTTTACTCTTTCATTTACCAGTTTTTCACATAAACCATTATTGAGCTGATCAAGCAACTTCCAATCACAACTTTGCCATAAAACAATTCTACTTCTACTCAAGCCCTAGAAGTTCATTGAAAATGAAAGCAGTTCCTTCCTATATAACTTAAAATGTTGAGCCTGAAATCCTATTCAAATGTCTAACAGAATTCTTTACTTAACTACTGTACAACTTGGACTACAAAGAGCTTGCATAGATAAATTATTTCACCTGACTGCTAACAATAAGAAACATGAAAATTACATGTCATATTAAACAAAAGGAATAAGCTATTGCATTGAAAGAAGAGGCATTAACAGAGCTAGTTTTTAGAAATAGAATATGTTGAAGTCAGAGAATTCCCCCAAAACAAAATGTTGTGAGGAAGCAGAAAAAATATGAATGGGAAGTTGGGGAATAGTTACATGGTAGGACAAAAAAATGTAGGAAAAGCTCACAACGGAAGTGACTCAAATGGAATAAATGGTCCAGCCAAAGCTGAGTGTGCATGGCTCTCTTCCCCAATGAGAAAACAATACAAACTCTCCAGAAGAACAAAATTAAGGAGACTGACAATATCAAGTGTTGATGAGAATATGGAGCAACCATAACTCTGATACACTGTTAGTGGGAGTGTAAAGTGGTACAACATTCTGGAAAAAGTTCTTGCAGTTGCTTATAAAACTAAACCTATACTTAGCCTACAACCCAGAAGTTACACCTCCAAGTAGTTACCAAAGGAAATAAAATATTGGTACCAGAATATTTACATCTGTTTTGTTTCACAGTAGACAAAAACCAGAACAGTCCAGCTGTCCATCAACGGGAATAAAAATAAACCATTTACACATAGAACAAAATGAATGACTCTCAAAAAACATGCTGAATGACAAAAGCCTTATAGAAAAGAAAATACATACTTTCATTTAATTTATTAAAAATCCTAAAACAGGCAATATTAACCTATAATTAAACAGCCAACTAAAAAACAGAATGGCCATGTCCTGGGAGAGATGGAGGAAATGGAGCTTGACTGAGAAGGGACATAAAACAAATGTATAGTCTAAGAGCAATGTTGTGTATCTGGAGAGAAATCTGGGTTGTATAACTGCATGCATTTTTCTGAAATTTACTGAATGATACTCTTAAGATTGGTGCATTTCATTATATGCAAAGTTTATCTCAAAAATTTAAAAAGCCTCTAAGTTAATTTTGAGTGCTGGTTAATGATATGCATGCCAAAGTGATTAGG